GGACTGCTCTCTTATGAGGTTATGTAATACATTTTAATTTAATGCGCTGACCTTGTCTATGCGTCTCTCTTCCTATGCCGACAAAGATGATGCGAGATGCGCAACGGAGAGCGAGGAGGAAGTTTTCGTCAGTGGCTCCCCACCTCACCGCCAGACGATGCAACGTGCATTTTTTGACGTCGTTAATCAGGTCGTCGTTCACCGTTTCGGGATCTAACATTTTCTTCAGCCTTCTGACCTCCGCCACCTACCAATCTTCTCGCGTTAATTTTTTTCGTCCAGAACAGCTTCCAAGTTTTTTCTCCTAAAAGTTATGATACTTTTTATAATATTTTAAAGATTATTCTGTAATACAATATTCGCCTGGTTGATCGAAGACCTGTCCAACTATACAATAAATTCTTCATAACGATAAAAATGAAAGATCCTTGAAGAAATTGAAGAAATCTTCTTGACTAGATTTCCACGTGCCGACGCTACTTCGTGTTCGTCCGAAGGCTGTTACAAAACCGGCGTAACGTAGCCAATTTTCTTAATACGGTACTCGGGAAGGATCACTGGATTCATTCTCATGATGCAACGGCCTCCAGACACCCGAGTCCTTCCCTTTCCCAGACGGCAGACAGACGTGACACGTACGCAACGAGACGCTGTAGAATGCGTGACTTGGACGTGGCTAGATTAAGGAGCATGTCTAGAATGGAATACAACCCGTCAAGATTTCGTGGCGAGATTTCGTCCGAATACTCTCATCCTTCTAGTTCTCCGCTTCCCTAAAGGGGTTCCTATACAAAAAAAAGTGGGACAAGTTGAAACTCGTAAAAAAGAAATCTATTTTTTTCACATTTTCTAATGGACGTCTAACCGCACGTGGTCACCATTCCCGTAACCTGACCAGTCGATTGTTTAGGAAAACCACTTCTGGTTGTTTGTCGAGCAACAACGAGGTCGTTGACGCGCGATTGGCTGCGCTTAAAGGTCCAAGTGGGCGTCCAGTGAAGCAATCCTTGCCAGTGACGTAGAGAAAAGACGCTCCTCCTTTTTTCCTGCCGGGTTTAATGACTTAGAGCTTCCATTATGCAATCCCGTAATCTCACCTGATGGTCGATGCAAGTTCTACATAGATAGACTTGAAAGTCTTCTCTTCTGTAAGTTTAATTAGTAGTTAATTAGTATTTATCGTTATCGTAAGCTCAGATTATGAGATTGTTCTCTGTTCGATGAAACATTCGAAAGTAAAAATTCATTTAATAGGAGATATTAAAATTCGAGATATAATACAAATGCATTAACACTTCCCTGCTAGACGAGACGAATGAGGTATATACTAGTGCTCGTGTCGGCTGTCTAGTCAATGTCTAGAACGTATAATAAATATCTGTGACCCACACTATGGGCCCTATAGGTCACTGACCACCATCCATTAGTCTGCCTTGCTGCCCGGAAAGCTTACACGTATCTCCAAGTGAAAATTTTTACGTCGTCATCATCAGGCACGGAATTCTTCGAATATTTCTGATTCTTTTATTTCACTTTACTCTCTAACTATCAATTTCTATCCTCGATTCAATCTAAAACTTCAGTTTCTATCTACTAATAGATTTAAATTGCAAACTCTCCTTTTTTATTGTTTTATTCGAGTATTTATATTGAGAATTTGTCGGCTGCTGTGATTTCTTATTTTCCAGTTTACTTTTTATTGCTAGTTTATATCGGTTTATAAACCTTTGTTTCTGTGTGCAGCCAGGGTGAAAAAGCCATCGAGGACATCAAGACGCGGGTTCTGGCTCTCACCGGAAGATTCAACCTCAGCACCGATGCCAACCAAGTTCAACGCGAACGACTCACCATGTTTTCACCGACCTGTAAGTTACTTAACTTGTTAACAGCAATATTTCTTAACTATGTGTAATCGCGGATTAAAAATTTAATATAGATAAATCAATTTCAGTTAAGTTTTCAGGGTCCGAAAATATAAATGCGATACAACTTATTTTTAATAAAAACGAAATAACGTATTAAACAATAGAGAATCTATAAATAAATGAAATAATGCATTAAAGAATAGGGGATCCATAAATAAAGAAATTATTATATCCGACGAGCTTTCTAATTAATAGGCTAATATCTCGTTAATACTCTAAATATTTTTCTGGTATAAAATATGTATCGTTCTCTTCCACCAGGTCAAATTCCTCGGAACACGGATCAAGATGCCTGGACGGACTCATTCTCTATGAATATGCACTTTCAATTGAATTTGACTTCCAGCGATCACGTGGTCGCCGCTAAATTAAGAATATTTAAATTACCACAAGAAAACACGACATCTTCTTCGGAAAGCACATTCGACGAGGAGGAGGAAGACGAGAAGAAGATCAGGATATCGGTCTACTATTACACGAAAACTTTGAAGAGGCATCGATGTAAGTTGTGGATTGATCTATAACATTAATTGAATAAAAATGTATTATTAACAGCGAATGATAATATTAACTGAATAAAAATTTGTATTAACAGCGAAGAAACGCCTGATGGATTCGGTTGTGACTCCTCTCACATCCAGAGGTACCCATTTGGCATTGGATGTGAGACAAAGCCTTCGATTCTGGAGACTTAACCAGCGGAATTCTCATGGAAACGGAAGTAACCATGGGCTGGTAATACAAGTTGAAGATCAAGATGGCAGGCCGCTGAAACCGGCTCTATATATTCAACAACCGTCTTGCGCGGATCAGGATTCAGATCAGAAGGCATGTGAGTGTGTGCTCTAACAATACTAACTCCGATGTGACAATTTCGATTGCCTGCTTGCATACCTGCGTGACACTTAACATCGTGTGCCATAACAGACTTGGATGCCTTAGATCATTTGAATAAGTTAAATGATTCAAACAGTCGCGATTGTTGACTATCGCGATTAATAGTTTGCGAGTTTTGCTGTATTGGCGATGCTGTGTGGTTTTTGTCGTGATTTCATACTGGCGCGCAGCCAGTTCCATCATATTGAGACTAAATTTTTATCTCATAGATAGCTACATTTTTCGTAATGTAACAGCAAAAATATTTGTACCGCATAATTTACTTGGAGTGGTTATTTAAATATTTTGAGAGATAGCTTTAAAGATTTAGTCTTAGTATAATTAATGACATTACCTATTATAAAACATATTTACAACAGTGCCTTCTTTTTCTACAGACCAGCGAGTACCTGCACTCTTCGTACGAGCCTGTACTCGTTACGTTCGCATCGTAAATGGAAAAACGGAGACGTACGTCAACTGCAGGCATTAGAGTGGAAGAGAAAAACACTTACATGCTGTGAGAAAATAGACAATCATTCACGTTGCACTTTATCCTTGGAAAAAACAAGGATCATTTTTACGAAGACCATAGAACATAATCCTTGAACTGTTGCTCGATTCAAACACATACCAACAATAAGTGTGAAATACACTTTTGTAGAAAGAATTGTCGTCATTAAGCTGCGACGTGTTTGTATCGATTATCGATCATAACTACATACTTTATAAATTCGTTAAGAAAATGGAAAAACCAATTTTTCCGTTGCTATACAATGCATATGCAATTATTCTTGCATAAATGAATGCGTTAAATTCATTAATGTAATAAAACAAAATTTAATATTTTTTATACAAAAATCATATTGACGACATTCTGGGGTTTTTTTATTGTTCTAAGCGCGCGCAATACAAAACGCAGACAAATGCGCCGTCACCACAGTAATTAGTTTCGTAGCAGTAACGAAGTAAAAAACGCGCGAAAATTGCATTAGTGGCGAACTGGTGAGAGAGTGAGTATAATCCCAGTAAAAGTTTTTTTATAGACTGCTTTTTAATTTAAACAAGATGTTAACTTAAAGATGGAATGCCGTGTTATTTAAGTGCAGTAGTGGTAAGCTGTATTTTATTGTTTTTTATCATTTCTTGTAGTATGCGTACAGACCGTGGCTTCTACGAGAAAAACATCGAAATACCCGTTATTTTATGAATAATATTAGAGTTAAATTTTAGTATGATTTAATGATGTACATACCAGTGAAATCAAATCAGTAGATTGATTAATATTAAATTAGATTAGATCATGTTAGATTATCGAATAGGTTACTCTCTTGACATGTATGCATGTACACGTTGCACATGTATGTGCAAAGTAATACGCGCATATACATGTCATGCCCACGACTGATGCAACCAAATGTAAGAGCTTAGACATAGATATTTATGTTTTATGTTAATTAAGCAGCGCAAATCCGTGCTGAATTTCTATTACTACACTTTAGGTGGGACCATATAGAATATTACAGTTTGGTACAAACACTAAGTACTTCACTATGTTGTAATGGCCCATCTGAAAGATTATGTTACTTACTACTATATGCTGTTGTTGTTTAACAAAGAAGACAACACGTTCTCAAAAATCCTACATAATTCCTGTACATAATGTATATTTAATTGCCTAGTTGTTTAAAAATAAATGGTTTGATGTCGAAATTTATGATGCCTTTATACTGAACACATTTTAAGTTTGACTCCTACCTTTTATATGATGGATTGTCTTTTAGCTGTTTTATATTTTCTTTTTAATGAAAAAAGGTATTTTTTAAGAAATAGAGCTTTTTGAAATTATATAATGTTCCAGTGTCTAAACTAAACTTTATGTATTAGCTTATTTCTTTATTTAAAGAAAGTATTAACTTTATGTTAATCTGTATAAGTTGTTTACTGAAAATACTATTTTATTAATTCACTGTCAAGCATATGTATTGTCCTTATATTATATCTATTATATCTCAAATTGTTTTTACTTTCATTTATATCTCAGCATAAATTTGTCTTTTAATCTAGTTTTATATTTTGGTGTATTACTCCTTATTGAACAAAATAAATTGTTTCTCTTATCATGGTTTATATCTTTTGCAATGTCTGAAAGTATTTTAGATTATTGTGCTCGATGTTATTGATGTAGACCTTATATGTAGTACAAAAATGTCTTTATTAAAAATTTTCATTTATAGGAAAAGTACATTCAACATTTACAAAAAAATGATCCTTAACCGGATCATATTCGTTGTAAGAACACAAAACTTATCAACAACAATATCTTTAGTTGATTCTCGCTTATGTGCTCTTTGCTGCAGTTAACGGAACCAGTTTGATAACATTAACAGAATATGAATCCATATAGGAAACATAAACTTATTAAAATGCACCAAAACTAATGAAAAATAAATAATTATATATGTATGATGTGAGGTGTCTTTCATAACCTTTTTCTTTAATATTGTTTACTTATAAGGAATATTAATAATTATATTAACTATGCTTTTTTCACAAATCAATTCAATAGCTTTGATGTAATCACTTCTTAAATAATTTTTTACTACTAGTATCACTAACGACAATAGTCCTTGCGTTTTTTACCTTTATTTTCAATTTTGTCTATGTTAATAAAAATCTATTAATTCAATAAGAAGAAAAACAGAAGGAAGAAGAAAAGAAAGGAAATAAAGATCCATTCCGAAATGATTTCGCGGATTAGAACGTCGTCGTAGAGCGTAGAATTATGCGTTGGAAATATAGGAAAACACTCTTGTTGGGCTTTTTGATGCATTAATTATAGATTATATTTAAATTCTTGATGATCCTTTATCTCGTAAAAACGAATCCGACTTGAAGAATTTGCAATTCTGCAACATAGCTAATCCACTGTTTTTTACGACGCATCCAAATACTATTAGGTTCTTTTGGTAGCTTTGAGTTGCGGTGTACCATGAATTTATGCACCACTAATGACGCTTAGAGGGTATGTACTATTTCTTCTCAGTTTCTTCAGCGACTACTAGACGAGTTCATTCTCCTCTATTCTTATGATAAAATGAACACAGGTTAGGCTTGTTCTTTTCATGTATCATGCAGCGAGTCATTGAAGTTCTTTGAGACCAGTCCTTACTGATAAATCATAATGATCTTTTAGGATCTGGTTTAAAGGCAGTGCATTGTGACTTTCTTGCCTGGCCTAGCTGTCGCGATCTAGAGAGTCCAAAGTGTCATTACTGGATGAATGAGTCAAATCACTTAGTTCGTCCAAATGTTTCTGCTTCTTGCGTACATTCCAATGCAAGCACTCTGCCAATGAATCGAACCAGTCAGTAATTTGGTCCGCAGCGCAAATGCTGGGCACTGGGTAGATGGATGTGGTTACTCTAAGACTGAAAATAATAGAAAAACATTAAAAATATGTAAAAAAGAGATATATGATATGAAAACATGATAACAGCAATAAGTAGTAGCAGATGAAGCATCGATAGTACTTTCAGCTTGCAGTACAGCTAACGTCTCGTTTCTAGGAAAATATCATATTTTCTCAGCTATGTAAGTTGACTTACATTCTGGAAATCTGAGAAACAATCAGTTGTAGCTGTAAGGAAACTCTCCAAGTGAGTTGAAACCAAAACCATGAAATCAAAATCTCTCTTCATGAACCCAAAACCATGGAAACATTGAAAAATGAAACGTACTTCAGAAGGAAGAACAAAATTCAAAAATGTAGGAAGGAATGTCGTAATAAGTTGCAATATTTTAGAAGAACTGGAATTTTTAGAACTGATGAAGATAAGAAAAGACAGAAAGTCTTATAGTATTTAATAGTAGGACGGACCTGTCCCCATAACGTAGCTCTTGTTGATTGCGACCATCAAAGGAGACGTAAGCTGTGCTACAGTCCCTGCTGTTAGCCATTATCTGTAATAACAGCCAAAAATGCAGAGAGTTAGATTCAGAAATTGATTGATCTTTACCTGTCGCCATGAAAAAGTTCCTGCCTATTTCTGCCATCGAACGATACCCATGAGGTGTTCCTGCTATCTGGTGAAACTGAGATCTATGATAGAAAAGAACTTTCAGTTAATCTTCAACAACGGAGCATGATATCTTCTAACAATTGTCTTTTCTTTATCAACAGAATGTATTGGGTTGTGACATTAATTCATTCTGTTCTTACACACATGTCACAGGTCGCAATAAATATAAAAACAGGATGAATCTATGTTACAACTTAGTAAGTCTAATTGATGGTATGTAGCATACATTCTGTAGAATATATGTTGGAACAACGGTTTGAAAATTTGTTCAGAGGATAACAAAGCAGCGCATGGTCTGAGAATGTGGGCGATATCCACCAAGTTTCCTTCTATGGCGACATCATAAAATACTGACACCACTATGATAAGGAACCTTTAGTGACTCACACGGAAAGACTATTATGTTAACGCTACATTAATTTCTAGAATCGTGGTTTTCTAACTGCAATGATGATAAAACATTGAAACGGATTTCCCTCAAGAATTGGCTCACATCCAGAATGTCTGATTTTAAGAATTCTGCAGCACCGTGATAGCTTCAAATCTCTGATTAAGGCTCCTCCTCTACATTATAATAAACATCGACTTGTATTGTACAATTGCAAATCTGAATTTACGTAACTCTACGACTACAGTATTAACTATCACTTTGAAGTTTCTCGATTCTAAAAATTCTATGATATTGGACTGCGAACATCTAAAATCTCTGATCAAAAGATTTCTATAGAATCTCTCAATTAATATGATAGAATCTCCTAGAATAGAATCTTCCAACAAAAATAGATTATTGCAAATAAAATTTCGTGGAATTCTACAATTACAGTCTACTAATCAAATTCTCCTACGGTTACGAAATTTTTCCGAGTTTACGTTTTCGATTCTTTTTCGCAATTCAAGACCTTTTGTACCGAAACTTGTGCTGACTATAAAAGGTATCCGGCATATTGGTAGGATAGTGAAAAAAATTCGGAAATACCTTCAACTCGACGCCGGCGGGCACAACGATTGGTCTGAAGGACAAAGAGTGAGGGCAGATCGGAGTGATCATAATCGCAGGTACTGAAGGATGAATCATGCTGGCTCCAGCCGCAACAGCGTACGCAGTCGACCCAGTCGGCGTGCTCACGATCAGGCCATCACCCTGCACACTGGTGACGTGTTTTCCGTCGATGAAGAGGTCGATGTTCGAGAGGTATGGGGACGGGCCTCGATCCACCACGACCTCGTTCAGCACCAGCAAATTCGTTGGTGGCTTCGCCTCCTTATCTTCTTCTCCTTTCCTCATGATGATACATCGCAGCCTGCTCCTCAAGGTCAAGGCCGCGTGGCCTAAAGCAAGGCAAACGATCGTCAGATTTATAACCCGCTTTTTATCACATTGTCAACTTTCAAGCACAGCTCTCGGGTGCTAATAGGTTTTCAATAAGCAACTTAATTGTTTCATATGATTTGTTTCTTGTCTATGCAAATGTTTAGAAGAATATATTGAAGAAATAAAGAATATTAAATGCCAGGCTAACTTGAGTGGAGAGTTGATTCAATTATGATGTCAATGGTTGCGGTTATAAATATGATGTTAATAGCGCTATAATTGCTATATAGTAAAATGATCAACACGTTTATTATATGTTACGACCGCTCAGGGAGAGACGCGGTCGCTAGGAAAACGCGTCAGCGAGAGGCGTAAATTCTCGCTACGATTCTGTTCATCGACGCCGCGAAATAGTCGTTCCCCTGTTTCGATTAAGATAACAGAGGTGGTTCACTGACTTTAACACTATATTAATAGATGAACACGCCACAAATTGTTTAACAATGAATGAAGTAATATGTTACAGAAAATTGACTCGACTTTACAATATCTCTCAATGAATTCGTTAGACTATGCGTCTTTGATTTTGCTCGTCAGACCTCTCGATGTATAACGTTTGGCTCGTCAGAAGGGACTGATTGCCCTGCGATCATTTCTTTGTCTTCTTTGGAAGACGACCCCCAATATGCTGGAAAACGTAACGGACAAAAATCGACGTTTCTAGAGCTCGCTGCTTGGCGACAACTATGCTCTTGTAACGTCAATTCATATTACAACTATGCGCTCGTCGATACATTGTATATCATCCGTTGGGCAGATAAGACGATCTGCCTGCGACACCATAGGGCCGCGAGCGACAGCTAGAAAATACAGCCTGTGGTAAGTCTCGTGGCGTAACATTTTACCTTTGGTATTTCTCTAAATCCTTCGTTTTTTGTCATGCTTTTTAATGTGAATAACGAATGATCACGTGGAGGAATTGTTAGCAATATATAATAATTGCACAAAATATATCAAGAGTTTGCGTTCTTGTTAAATATTATGAAGCCTTGTGCTATCAACAAGGAAGAAATGAGGGAAATATTGAAGGACGTAGATTATCGCTATCGCTGAGAACATCGTTGAGAAGTTCTACGTGCTTACCTTCTAGTACATTTGTTACTTGCTCCTGGAAATTATCGAACTCAAAAGGGGTGAGAAATCCTAATGACCCAAGGTGAAATGCCATGACTGGTGGTACGGATTGTTGAAATAATAAACTGGCGTATAAAAGAGTTCCATCGCCTCCCAGGCACACGATGAAGTCGATACGATCCTTGAATAAAAACATATAATAATGACACATATAATATAAAATAATACAATAGAAACATATTTTAATTATTGAGAATCAATAAGAGCACAAATAAACGTTTTATGGCGGCTAAAAATGATTACCTGAAGGTCATCCGTGCCATCTCTGAAAGTTTGTAGCCTATCTCGAACCGCCTGAAATCTAAGGTCCCTAGCTAAGGCTGGATCTTCCAGAACAGACGCCTCGACGAACACAACCATTCGTTTTTCCTACAAAAACATTCAAACATTAAATTTCATGAATTTTAAACATAGAAAATTTAAAAATGCTCGTTGGCCTTTAGATAAGTTGGTCATTAGATTAACAAAATGCGTAACCTCGCTTCTGCAAGAAATATATTACAAAGCTATGTGACTAAGTGTAGATAAGTATATGAAAAAAGTCGTGCAATCACGTGATTCAAATCGATAGACTAGAGCACGAGCACAGAGTCTTCGCAAAGAAACTAGTCTGACTATGATTACACAAGTGAAAGTATGATATCGTCTAAATAATATATACGGACGTTCGAATATAGTTTTCCTCTTTGTCCAGTAGATCTGGCTATCGAACCTCAAATTATGCGCAGTGATTTGCACAATTAAAATTATCGAACAGTCAAAGAATCGATAGAGTTTTTTCGCATCAATTATACAATATACATACAAAATGGTCGGACAGGAGAGAATAATACTTACTTCTATTAGCCATGTAACTAATTGTACAAACGGTGGCAATACCGAGTTATCACGGACCTTCTTGATGACTAGAACAGTAAGTGGAGGTTTATACCACGTCAACCTCTGAGAGGCTGGATCCTGAATGGTCCTGCAATAAAATAAACGGCAAATTTGTTAATCGAATTCTACGAAATTCTAGAGGATCGTTCAGACGATCAATATTATTGTCGATATTTAAGGGTTTCAACATTGTATTGACAATATACGTATACGAATTATCTAAAGATTCTGTAGAGTCCAGAAGGTCTCCTACGTAGGATAATGTTGAGATAATTACTATGTAATGTCTATTACGTAGGATAATTTAAGTACCTTAAATATTGGCGATGATATTGACAATAATATCGTGGACACAAAATATTGGCAATGATATTCACAATAATATTGATCGCTCAAACACTTTTTAACGATAAAATATCAAGAGATTCTTCTGGAGGCTTTATTATTACAAAACTTTAATCTTAAACATGATATGGTGTAATTAGTGATAATATCGACAAGTTCTCACGTTGAAGTTTTATGCTCTGATTGATAGGAATTTTTTTACGTTTCAGGATGAATTGGACTTTTATACCTAATGAATGTTGTCAATCTATAAAGATACGGTGGGTTGAACTCTTTAACATACTTTACGAGCTACCGCGCGCGACTCGAACTCTTTTTAACACTTAGCCAACCGAATAGGGAGACCTCCCTTCTGTGAAGAACACCGCTGCGTAAGCGAACAGGGAGATCTCCCTTTTTGACTTTAGCAACGCGTTCTCATTTTTGTTGTTGTTGTTGTTATTATCAGTTATTGTTTATCTGGAATTGTTCCCAATTAATTCGCCACTTTTTCTACTTTTATAAAGTATAGTATATAATAAAATACACGAATTTAGTGGTGTTAAAATTAATTAAAAAGTTACACTATCAGTTATGACTAAACAAAGTTATAATCGAACGATACGACGCTGTAAAAAAATATTAAAATGCATTATGAATTATGTAATTTCACGTTCAAGTCGTGTTATCAATCTTTAGTTATCTTTAATGTTTTTAATTTTACCTATATTATTTTATAATTTTAATGTAAACTTCTAATTTGATCTTTTGGATAAACAATATGTGAAATCGTTAAATAAAATCATTACCGCCAGATATAATTAACCACTTAAATAATTTTTAGACTTCTTTGTTTTTCAAGTAATGAATATTAGTCCTAGATACTTGGAAAAATATGCGGTTGACATCGTATAGGTTGGCTTGTCCGAGCGCGGCGGAAACGTATAGCTCGCTGCAGCGCGCGCGGTTGGCTAAGTGTTAACATAAAGGTAATCGATTGCAAATCTTATCAGTAAATTAAGGTCACGGGGATCAAACGTGTGATTATGTACATATTTTATGATCGAACGCGGTCATTGTCTTGGTTTTATATCATTCATTACTGCTACCGATTCTTGATGATTTACGTCAACAATTTCATTAAAAACGTCTGGAAAAAATGATAAGATATACAAATGAAAATAGTGTAGAGAAACTATTTAGTAGGGAATATACTTGCGCATTACTCAACAGAAATATATAATTTAACGTATAATTTCCAATTGTCATAAATCAAAGATTCACTTCTAACGTTTCCACTTTTCTGTGCTGAGTTTGTTGTGTAATTTTTAAGGTCAATTTGTAATGTTTTTATTTTTCTGTGTCGAATTCGTTGTGTAACTTTTAATTGCCAAATCACGTAAGAACCAAAAATTCACACTGATAAGTAGTCGCGATAGAAAGCCGATGATAAGTATACACTGATGTGCGTGACTAAAGCGAAAACGGAGGTAATTCTTGATTTGGTAATTTGCTGTCAAATTATGGAGTTTGTCAGACCTACCTGATAGAACCAACCATGGTGACACTAGACTGAGAGTTGTACTCGTACTGAACGTGGACCGAACACAGCGCTACGTATTTTAACGGTAAACAGTTGGACGATGCGCAAGCGCACGAGACCTTTCGTATGCACGTGAGAGCATCGTGGGGCGTTCTTATATGCAGAATACTTGAAATGACGCGAATAACTGATACACGTGCACGGTTTTATTTGTTTCCGTACCTTCATTGACTTCATTATTATTCTAAGAAATTTCATTAATCTCAAAAATATTTAATGCACGTTAATATTTTAATCGTTCAATAGTGATCGCAAAGTTCAACTACGATTTATAGTCTTTGGTTGTATTTATTCAGATATAAAAAGTAAATTGGCTGGAATTTTGACGTAACAGATTTACAAAAAAAAATTTTAATTGATCATTACAAAATTTTATACATTGGATTTATCGATACGAAAGATTATTAATTAAACAGTTTCGATAGACAGAACTGAATATTAATTTCATGCATATGTAAATGGATGAATCGTCTTAATTTTCATATTAAAAATGCTTGAAATAAAAGCTTATCTAAGCACACGAATTTACATTCAAAAATAATGATATGCTAAAAAGAATCGTTAATCGACTTCTTTTCCATTTACGCACATAAACTGTATATGTCCAGTAATCACTAAATTATTATAATCATGTTAGTGCGCACTATTTTTAATTCACAAAATTTATGAAACTAGATGTTATGTAAAGTTCCTGACGATGATGTGTACAAAACACATCCAGAATCAAACGCAGTGCATAGTTGTTTCTCGATTATTTCGTTGCATAATGTGATTGCCACAATGACAGCAACATTGTTAGCATAATATTACTTAAGAAGATCGAGATATTCTGCTTGGTTCTCAATGTGTTCGCTAACAACGTACCTCTTGAGTTTATAAAACCGCTTTCTACTTCACACTGGCAAAACAACGCTTAGGTTCGCTTAAAAAGTCATTGTCACGGATAATTAGGTCAAAACACTCGCGTGCAGCGTAGTTTTTATTTGGTACGCTCTCTTTTGCTTCGTAAACTCACCTTCTAATTAACCGAGACGAAAAAAAAGAGCAGAGGAAGATACTTTCCAATTTCGTATGATTTTTTAAACTTTGGAATTATCGAGTCATTTCACAGTAAAGTCGTTCGACATTATACACATACAGTTCAAATGCACATTACGAATAACATTAATAAAAAATCAGATAAGGTTTAAAATTTATGGGAATTGGAAGAATTATACATGGAATTATGAATAGCTATTAGTAAAGAAATAATCGGTATAATAATAAGAGTCGAGAAGCAAGTTTATTTTACCGTTTCAATGTTCAACGTTGGATAGAATAAAAGGATATATTTAAAAATTCTGCATTTGGTCGGCAAACAACTTTCTAAAGTAATAATGCAATATTTGACACCACAATTTTTGGAATTTTTCAATAAAAGAATTTAAAAATTATCAGGGCGTTCCTGCACAATAATTTATTAACTAATAATATTAGCACGTTGAATGCTATGGGGGTCACCGGTGGCCGGAGCACCAAGATGAGTCATGAAGAGAGAAGAACAAACGTCAACAGATATAAATTTTTTATCATTACCATCGTTACTACAATGGTGTGACGAAATTAATGCAGTATAAAATGTATGAAAATAATTTTATTTATACATGAAATATAGATCTATTATGTGCGCCCCCCACCAATGGCTGTAGAACATGGAAACACCCGTTTTTTCCGTGTTTCACCTTAATGAACAATAATCCTAAGAAACGTTTCGACTTGAAAGCTGTTTGGTGACAATTAAGAGCCTTGATAATAAAGTAGAAAATGCTAAATCTTGTAACGGTTCTTTAGGATTGCGGGTCCGGGTTTATGATAAGTCTCTGGACGTAACAACATGGAACAGTTATTTAGCAACGCGAAGAAACAATATGAGGTAATTGATAATCGCAAAAAATAAGTGAATCGAGTAAAATTGCACTATAGCGCTATGGGGGGGGGGGGAAATTTT